TAATCGTTAAGTGTGCCCAGGCGATCATTCCGTATATATAAGAGATATCAACCTTTCAACTTACATCGAAATGTATGTTATCTAATGAGTAAAATGATGTCAATAACATTTTAAAATAAAACTTGCAACGTCTTAAATTTTAACGTATGGGTATCATATACATTTAATATGATATTCGTAAAGAGGCTTTAATTCACCTAATTAAGAGGTAACAATAAGTTTACTGACGACGAAATATATATATAGTAATAAAACTTTTAATTGGATAAAAATAAAATTATGTTTATATTCAAGTAGTACAAAATTTTGTATTCTAAGCAGTGGTTCGAAACTAAACTAAACTAAACCTAAAACTAAACTAAAGCTCGTTCATTTACTCATTAGGTAACGCACTTTCGATATCAGTTTAAAGGTTTTTGATATTTCTTATATTTACGGTATAATCGCCCGGCACACTTAACGATTCCACCCTATATATCTAATAGTTATTGTATAGAGATTTTCGCTTGATTTACGTTTGCTTTTCTATTAACTTTATCTTTAAAAGACTATTAAATAATTCATCGTTTTAATTTACTCATTGTCGTTAAACTTGAGCCTTTAATCTATAACCCAACGGTTTAATTGCAGCCAGAGACAAGTAAAATCAAGGGAACAAAGCAATGTTTACGATTCACTCAAACTCAAATTTTCTGATTTCAAAATTACTATGGGTATTTTTTCCTTGTTAACAATACTTTCTATTGTTGGTCTTTACATTTATATACTATATTTATATATAAGTTCTTAGTTAAGTTTTGCAGTTTGTTCCTCATCTAGTCGATAGTTTTAGACTTTCAAATGTTCAAAATCAATATATGCATACATAATAATTTTGTAGTTAATATTAATGATAGTATGTGTATTATAATTCACTATTGTTTCCTATGAAGCATAGTTAAATTAAAATTGAGACGGTATAGCCCATATTTAGTTCTTCAAATTTTACGTTTTTAATTTACTAATTATAATATTACTACGTTGTGTATTGTATAAAATATAAACCATATCTGTTATATTTGATGTAGTGTGTGTTAAGAAAATATTTATTTTTTTAATCGGTTAAGTATATTGTATTATATATAAGTTTCTCCAAATAAATTTCTGAATTCTAATTATTCTCTTTGTCTGTATTTAACCCGTACACCGCCCAATTAACTCAAATTTAACGACTCACAAACTTGAGATTAATCTTACAGTGGTATGTTGCAAACTTTCTTACACATTACGCACATGAGCTCGAATTCTTAAATAAATGGAATTACAAAAACAGAAACAATAATTGTTTAACCGCTAGCCGACTAATCCAGACGTAGTCCGCCTTCTAACCGAGGTGGGTATAAAATATATGAAATAATATAAATGCTGTGCTGGAGAGAAGTAAACAATAGGTTTATTTAATTGTGCAATACAATTTTATTTTCAGAATGTGACGACGAGCCGGCGATTTCTGTAGAAACGTTAGTGAGGTCGCCATCGCTGCCGATACACTCGACTGCCAGTCACGGGTCGCCGAGCTTGTGGGCTATTGTCATGCGGCTCCAGAACGAAATAAAAACGCTAAAACTAGACGTTAAGAACCTGCAATCGCAGTTGAACGAGGAGAAACAGGAACGTACTCTTGCCATCACAACTTTGAACTCTAAATACTTATATAGAGACGCAAAAGAAAGCAAATGTTAATTTTACGCACTAGACTTACTTAATTGGTAACATCAAGTATTAACTTAGTGTAATTTGTAGTATGTAAGTAATCACTAAAATATACGACAGTTTACTCGCACCAATGACAATATTATTTCACCACTCACGCCCAAATTACAGTCCCAACAGAGTCATACGACGGACTAATGTGAAATATCTTGTACAAATTAAACAGCTATCCCAGATTAATTCGTAGAGCGACTTGATAACACAGGTACAACTACTATCAACTTTAGCGGATTGCGACGGAGCTCGGTTCAGTGGATGTTCACTGGGGCGAACCGCCACTGCCCCGGTTAGGTGTAAAGCAAAGGGTCCAACGAGAAAAACATCCCCCTCTACCTTTACTTCAACGCTTTTCCTTTTTACGTACTGGGGGAAAGCACTTATCTTGTGTTACAATTTGTAACATTAACTAAGTAAATACGTAGGAAATTAAACTTTTTCAGATCGCGCATAGAAATGTTTTTGTACGACGAATGAGCGGTGTACGAAAAAACTTTGTTAAGATTATTGTTATGCTTTAAATGTAATAAATAAATAAGATAAAATAATAAAGATCTATACCGCGTATATTTGTTTTTTCAAACAATTTCAAAAAGTTTGTAAAGTCATCAACCAGTTGTATAATATTAATGAAAATTACCCTATTTTTCACTATAGTCCCAAAAGTTATTAATTAAATACCTTATTTTTGAATTTTCCAAAGATCAATTCAATATACGTATTTGTAAAACGTAGATAGGGACATAAGTTTTACAAATTATTTTATTTTAACAATGTGAATTCATTAATAATACATTTATTAAATTAAATTTATTATTAATTAATAATATATTTAGATTAGAACATATTAGTACTGCAATCTAATGTCTGCTTGGGATTTAGACCCGAAATAGTAGTTTCATTTCCTATGTACAATCACGAAAACCTAAAAACTCGATAAATAAATACGATTAACACCATTTCATTTATCAGTCGAATTTGTATTAATCTTTATTATAATTACGTTCATGACATCGAGGGGAATTTAACGTGTAAGCTGAACACTCAATGTAAGAAAATTAAGCTCAAAGAGAATATCAATGTCAATACGTAATTAAATTATGTAACGCACCTAAGTACCTTTTGAGATGTCGATCCAATTAATCCCTGTGCCCTTGTTGAAAAACGTCGCATACTTAAATATTTTATCACTTTCGTAGCGGCGGAAAATTTGGTACGATCGCGGTCGTCTGTTGTCGTCGCGAGCAATAACAAACGTTAGCATTTTAATTTCATTCCCAATTTACCACACCGCCGACGCGAACCAACCGCACAATTTCGCAGCCGTACGCTATAACAGATTCATAAGAAGTTTTCTTGCTATCTTTTTTGCAGTGTTATTAAATTTTAATGGAACTCTTAATGCTATTTGGCTTCTTTCGGGATTCTTGGTTATTAAAACTTCATCTTTATACTGTAAGTTTTTATTTATCGTGGACCAGTACAGAATCTCTCGAGCATTTCGATATGACGAGTCATTGGCAGTACATTAATAATCTTTAAACCGATGGATTTCATTTGTACTTACTGATTTATTATGACAAGTTTAATGTACGTAGATATTAATGGATGATTCTGAATGACGCGTATATTCTTATTATTTAAGACATTTTTTCCAATTTATGCAAACCAGCTATGTCCACATTACAGATAGGTAGTTAATTCGATTGTAGACAACTCGATAAATATTTGATTTTGTTAAAGGCAAAGTTTACATTTGTCAGCTGGCACGTATCGTAGTAGTCAGAGACTTGTTGGTAGAAGTATATATACCTACAGATTAAAACTTAAATTGAAATCATGTACACACATACCTATCACTTGTTTTTACGTACTTATAATAAAGTACAACAAAATTAACAAATTTTTTTATATGAGCAGAGTCTTTTGTTGTGTAACATAACAAATATATTTACATAAAGTCAAACATTTCAAAAATACTTTACACTTCATTGCCCGAATGAACATTTATATTTATATGTATAATTATTTTGTACTTTATATAAATTACTACAGCTATATATGGCACGTATCAATTGTAATTTGTACTTATAAATGGTAAATTGCTACTAAATGTCCAGAGAGCAAGTGCATTTGTGAAAACAGAAAGGGACAGCACTACAAAACGAAAATGTCTGTAATTTCATTTCTATTCTACGAGTTTAGGACTAAACATTGTTTCATTATTACAGTAGGTAGTATTTTAAAAATTCTAGTTTAAAAGCTATTCGAGTTTTACGGAAGCAGACTATTGCATCGTTAACCTATTTCTCTATTTGACGACGTCGGTGACTCAGCTGTTTGCACTGAGCGCTGTGTGAGGAGGTTTCAAGTTCATATCTTGGCAGGACCAATTTGGAAATAGATTCTTGTCTGTGATTTCCGTTGCCTTGGTACTCGTAATACAGGGAATTATCTGGTAGTGTAGGTGTCTAACACATTATTTGTATTGTATTGTTTGACATTATAATTTTCTCCCTCGTATGTTCGCCACTACTATTAAAAATCAACCGTTTTGGCATAAAGTTAAGATTACACTCTTGGAATTACAGTGTTCTATTTCTTGAAGCGTACTTTAACTGCACAGATATATACGAAAAAATTTCAATGTACATTTACCGAAATAAAGAGTTTCTAAATTTTAATGGGTATTCAGCTGCTTCCATAAGCTTGAATGACTGAAGAAAATATTAGTTTATACTACTGTATGGGTACCCCCAAATGAGGCTTCTGAATATTTACCTTATACACGCCTTTTCGACTACACTAAATATTATTTATGGAGGATGTTTCATAGAAGACGGGTCAAATTTTCCTCATAAAAATAAAAGTTAATAAAAGCTCTTTTTAAAAACTCAAAAGTAAGCTTGGGGTCACCATTAAAATCTCGTATTGACTCACGAATTTAAAATTATATTTTACTGAAGTTATTTGGATAGTACATAAAACAATAATTGAAATATTTTTTCCGATAATTCCGAACCTACATGATACACATAAATTATATACACTTCTATACATAAATGTGTGATGTACTGCACCGGATAAGCCGAAAAGCGCTATCTCAATCGTAGTAGTTTGAGAAAATCGACTTTTTGTAAATTGTATTTTCGCACCTTCAAAAATAAATCTTTTTGAAGATGTTAAAACTTATTTATACGTATTTTTGACTAATAGATTTATTGAATTATTGAAAATATCCATAAATGTTACTATTATACATATTTTGTTAGATACAGCTATTTTAGTTATAAAGAAAGCCGCCAAATCTATTAGTAATTTAAGGAAAAATTGAGATATAAAAATACTTCTTAGTGGTTTTTTAAATGTTTTAAGTTAGATAGCGCTATTTCTATTATACCATTAGATGCAAAACTATTATAGCTATTGAATGGTATAAAAATACTAAAAGGCCGAAACTCAGAGATAACGCCTTTTGGCTTAGCAGGGCAGTATAGGTATATACATATAATTAGTCCACATATCGTTCAACTTGTGTCACGATACCACAGTAGCAATTCCACTGAAACCGGGTGTTCATGACAAAACATGAACACTAATTGCTATGTGAACCATGTAAGCCTTTGTTACAAAATCATTTATGTTTTAGTAACCATCAACCACCGTAATCTGCTATTTTAGCTTTGGTGGTGATGACACTACATTAAGAACACAGCGTTCATTTCGGACTTAGCTTAACTATATTTATTTGTGAAGGCGTCTTTGCGGCATTAGACCCGTCGGAAATGTATGCATAATTAAAACTGATACATAATCGTTATACCTTCTGTTATATGTATGTTGTAACACTGATTACAAATACAGGCTAGAACTGTATTTGGCACATTGTATTGCATCTTGTTTTAATAACGATAGTTGTATATTAGTTTGTGGCATTGGTGTTGGCCTGGTATTTGGCTTGGAACCGCCTGCGGTCACGCCAGCTATGCACCTGGTTGCGGATGCGCGACACGTCTGCAGCGTACGTGCGGCAACACCCGCCCACGTACCGCACGCCTAAGTCCAACCACTCCTGAATAAACGTCTCCACTGCCTCGCACTTGTCACGGTCAATCCATCTGCAACCGATGACAAACCTTTATAATAACAAAATCAAATCGTAACACAAAAAATATGGGTATTTCTACAACTAGTATGTATACCAGAGATATCCGTCTTTACACTTTTTTTATTATTTCCCTTATGAAATCCGACAACATCGCTAATTTTCAATCCAATTCTACGATCCCAAACAGAATTTCTGAAGATATTTTACAGGTCGTGATAATACCGAAAGTGAGAATAGTAGTTTATCTTCAAAAAGCAGTGATACGATGAAATTGAATTTATTAGTTTTCTTCCTTACTTTCCCATATCAAATATTCACGACACGCGTTTTTTAGACAAAAAGAACATCGTTCGTGACTTTCTGACGTGATAGATTTTCGAACACGGAGAGTTTTTATTTTTGCTGAAACGTTTCGCTGTTGCAGAAAACTATATTAGACAGGGTGTAGGTATTACTTGTATCTTTACAGCTTTCACTGTTCGACCTTCATGTACACTAATTCAATAAACCTTCGCAAACGCAATTTATTTTACTGATTCTCTCTTCTAATTAGTGCTTCTATATTTGATCGCATACGGTACGAGTGAGTACACACTAATATAATAAATAGCACGAATATTGGTCGATTACCACAATTGCTATTGTAGTAGCGCTTATCAAAGGGCGATATCTTACCCTATTTGGGGGTTGTATTTTTCTCCTGAATTGGGGTAGACGATAAGTGGAATGGGGTCATGTGGCCGATCGTCGTTGATGCCTTTCAGTAGATTGGACACGTACGATGGAGCACAACAATTTACTCCTACCGCAACCAGCTGCTCTGGATTGGAATCCCAGCACTTCTGCGCTACTTTTTGAAAGCTTTCTCCATGCGCGATACTTTGATTGTCCTATAATTAACAAAAATGGTAACTACTTAGGTAGGTATGCATCTAGCGTCTACAGCTCGGTTAATAAACAAATGCTTTCATACCTGTTCTGGAAGTCATCGATTGCTTTGATCTTATTATTTTAACTTTTACATTAATGAAATTGAAATGTTGACTGTCTAACTGTAAATACAAATTCACGATCAAAATAAAAAAAAACTCATAATACTTAATTAATTTTTTATTGAATTGATATTCAATTATTTTTTGTGAAATTACTCCACTAGTTTGTTATGCTTAGTTCGTATAGCGTCTGGCACGGTATGCAAGAGACGTCGGGTCGAATCTGACCGGATCGAAGGAATTTTTTCTGAGTGTTCGATCATAATACTTATTTAACGAAATCATAAATAAGTACTTATACAAGATTAACTACCGTAATTTTTCCTTTCAAACAATGTGTAAACAAGTTCAGAATTGGATAATACAACAGCCAATACACGTTTCTAACCATTAAGAATGTCTGTTTTGGTATAGAATTTTTTCTTTCTTGGTATACAATTTTGATTACGAGATATAAACCCCTAGAACTTTCGTCGTTATATTTCAAGAATTATTTTTAAACAAATCCGTGGACAGGGCGAGAAAGGGTTAACCAGTAGTGTAGTTTAACTAGTAAGCTGTAGAATTTACTACTCCTAGTAGTCTTACTGCTGTTCATCTCGTGTATTTTCTTGTGCTCCCGGTACCTCACCTCGGATTAAAGAATCCCTTTATTAAAAGTTTAATAAGACCTAGACTTTATATTACCTACGTTGATATTACAAAGCCATTATATGAGTTACTGATTTGCAACAGTAATTCATTTAAAATAACGAGGTTGTAAGCAACGGAGAGAAGAATTTATTATCTAAGCATTAATACGCCTGAACTGCATATCGAATTCTGTAATAACTTAACTAGTTAAGATAATATTAACATATTATCTTAACTAGCTACTTATTACAATGTTGAACTGAGATAACGATGTCAGTGGCCAGCCAAATCTTAACCATGCCATGCCAAATGAAAATTAATTTTATTCCTACCATCGCCGCAAATTAATAGCGAAGAGCAAATATTAATATTACAGCCGAATAGATGATTTCAGATTTATTTGGAATCTGATCATTTAGACACGGTGTATATTGTGGACACGATTTTAAACTTTACCCGTTTTTTGAGCTATAAGTAAGTATCTTTACTTACTAGACAAATGTTTCTGGAATTAATAAGAAAAAAATACTAAAAACGGTCAGAAATGAATTTATTTGTTTTTCAAAATTTTAAGTTAGTTTCTCAAAATATTCTCCGTTAGCGTTAATGCACTTTTTCATACGAATGAACCAATTTTGAAAACATTTATGCCACTCTTCCGTGACAATCTCTGAAACATATTTTTCATACTCTTCGACAGCCTCTTCAGAGATAAAAATTGACCGCGTAACTGGTTTTTAATTTTTGGAAATAAATAAAAGTCACAAGGTGCCAGGTCGGGACTGTACGCAGGATGGCTCATAAGGTCAACGTTGTTCACCTTCAAAACTTCATTTGTCTGTCCGGCCTTGGGAGGACTGGCATTATCGTGGTGCAAGATGATACGGCGTTTACGGTTATTTTTACGGAGTTTGTCAATAACTTCCGGCAAACAAATGGTCGTGTACCAATCACAATTCACGGTACAACGATATTCCAAGGCAACAGTAGCCACGTCTCCAGTTCTATTAAAAAAAGAAGCAATCATTCGCTTAGAGGCACTTCGTACGCGCGTCACTTTGGTTGGTTTCGGCTCATATCGAAAGACGAGCTTATGGCGATTGCGGCTTTGTTTTGACATCGTAACTATAAATCCATGTTTCGGCACCTGTAACTATTCCCACACCAAATTTGACACCCCTTTGTTGAATCTGGTAAGCATGGCATTGCACCAAGTGACGCGATCCATTTTTTGAGCCTCAGTCAAATTATGTGGGATCCACCGAGAGCACAGCTTTCTCACACCCAAATGTTTGTGTAGTACTGATTGTATTTGACTCATGCCTATGCCTAAAGATGCTCGAATCTCATTGTATGTCACATGCCTATCTGTTTTGATGTGTGTGAAATTCGTCACTGAGATTCACACGACCGCGTTTGAATTCTGCAAACCAGCTATAAATAGTTGTCTTGCATGGTGCTTCATCGCCAAAAGCAGTTTGAAGCCGAGCGAAGCTCCGCTGAGCTGTTAAATTACACTTAAAGTCGTAGAAAATCATACTACGAAAATTTTCACGAGTTAAATCCATGGTGATGTAGACAACCAATTTCTAAAATGACGCCACAAGTGACAGATGAAACAAACTGTATTCTACAGCCAAAGAGTTCCATTTTCAAACGTTGTAATTACTTTTTAAATATTGCTTATGTAAGTGGCCAGTTCCGGAAACTTATAGTGCGCCCTATGTATGTTACTGATTTGTTTTCTTTAAATCTGTATAAAAGGTTCTTTTTTTATGGTAAGCGACACGCATATCCATAACAGTTCCAGTGCCATTCAGAGCTTTAAATCACAAAGGTCTTATGGGCGCTGCCACTGTGCCCGTCACCCTGAGGTATGCCTATGCAGTTAACAAGTCCCATGCGCCTGTAATTTAAAAAACCAGCACCCTTACCCTTTTAAACCGGAACGCAGTAATGCTTACATTACTGCTGTAATAATAATAAGATCATTTATTATCTCCTAACAACTACAAAATAATTGGTTTCAGTTGACAACAAAGAATACAATAATAATAAATACAAAGCGAGTACCTTACAGCTGAAGGCTAACCAAGCCTTCATGTTCGGGAAATCTCGCAGAAGGTCGCATAGCATCTCCGCTTCCTCCTGGCAGGGTATTGTCTCCAGTGCCAGTAGGTCTACTCCAGCGTCCACCAGGGTCTGGATTCGCGGCCGATGCCAATCTCTCATAGTCTGCAAAAACATTTGCCATAAAATCACGGCTTACCGGTAACATGCTGTTGCACTTCGTTTACTATTATTCATTATCATTAACAATTCTGTACTTTTAAAGGTAGCTAAGCATAATTATTAATTAAATGGGAAAAAGTATATGCATGTAGGTTACAAAACTGTCTACGACCGAATCAAACAACTGTTTTGTAAATAGCAGGTGTTGGCAGATCAGTGTCTTCAGTTGTGAGTATCTTTTTAAAACATTAAAAGCAATTGCCGTAAATTTAGCACTTTGAATTCCCATTCTATAGTATGTAGTTAATTTTCTAATTTCGCCGAATGAGACCCGAGCGAAGAAAGCGTGTCCATCTGTCGAACTCATAATAAAATTGCAAATCGCGAAAAGCCTTCGTAACTTCTTAATCATCTTACTTGAGGGTTTCTTTGTGCTAGTTGACGTAAAAGTTTTTTTCAAGTTTCTTTAAATTTGAAACGTAAAACCGACATTAAAATTAATTGAAGGAAATGTTTACACATTTCTAATTTTCTGTTGCTAGTAGATATTTATGTATATTAACATTGCTTTATCTGCTAACTCATTGTCTTTAGCGATTGTTTACTACTTCAATCAACGTCGAGAATAGGGAGTATAATTTACTTAAGGGAAAAAGAACTCTGTTTTACTAAAGTGGCCAGCTTTCTGGCCAGTGCATTTCTAACTGCCTGTTGTACTCTAATAGCCATTTGTTCTAGGATTCGTTAATTAACTGTCCGTCCACCCCAGTCAAATACGGGTGGCAGGAAAAAAAAACGCCCAATGGAGTGGGAGTTTTTCATATTGCCGATGTAAATTTTAATTTGCAGACAAGTTTACGACCCTCTTTACGATTTAGCTGGCGCTTTCAACCTTTATTAGGCTATGCATTCATGGCTGGCATTCAATTTGTGTTTGAATTCTTTTTTCAGATATAATATTTGGACGAAGTTGTCTGTCTATTTAATTATTGAGTTTTCAGAAAATTTATAGAAATCCGTGAGTTTTGCTGACTTGATCTGTAGCCTAGTTGGGAGAGCGGTTGTCTTAGATTGGTAAAACAGACACAAGTTCAAGTCCTGTTTGATCGAAGAAATTTTTCTTTGTGTTCGATTCTTAGTTCTTAACATTTATAGAAAAAGTTGCACTAAACGAATTAATCTGTAATCTTTATCATAAAATGGTCTTTTTACTCGTTTAAGTCCTCACAATTGTAACTGTTATACTTATAAACAAACATTATTGTTTATGGCCCTGTTTACTGACACTTTACAATGGGTAATACTAGTGAGTATTTTCTTCGCTGATAAAGTAATGGCATATTGCCTGGACTTTTATCGCCATTTAAAGACATCATACTGAAATAAACTACACTACTTTGTAAATATTTATTTATCTTGATACGTTTATTATCTATGTATTTCAGTGTCTGAAGATACTTGTTTTAAGACTTGACAACGGAACCCTACAATCTTGCAACTTAATGTTCTATAAAAATCTTCATTTTGAATTTACAGCTTTTAGCCAATAATCTTTTATCTTTGCCATTTAATTAAAAATCGATTCGGCGGCGCTCTGGATGACCCTAAAAGCATACTGTGTTGCGGACACAGAAAATAGAACAAATAAATAGCTAGTGTGCCATCTATTATTAAATATTCGTGCCCTGATTTTCGAGATAAGTAACTAAAGTTATAGGTGAATTTACCTGAATAGATGTGGTGTCAGCATAGCTACCGTCGTACTCGGAACCGTCGTGTAAATGGGCTCCGTAGGGACCCACTGAGCCCACCACTAACGGCTCATGATCTAAATTAACAGATGATAATATGTTATTATATTCCTTCTAAGTTTCCGCTCATTTGTTCACTTGCGCTGTACTTTGGCCCGTGTCAACACAAATATCTCCGAACCCCAGCAATGTGTAATTAATGCGTGCTTGCACCCGTACCTTGCGGTATGCCGATCCGATGCCGACCCGAGCTTTGTTTATAGTAAAATGCAAATTATTCTTGGTATTTTAAAAACAAAATGAATCCCTTGTATAAATAATTAACTAGTTTTAACTCGATTAAAATTTACGTGTTTTGTCGAACATCAGAAATACAAATATTTTTTTACTGGTCGTTAAGTAATCTTGGTATTCTTCGAGGTAGAGCGTGCGTGCACGCTTGGCTAGCTCGACCGCGCGCACGATCAATTCGTAAGCCTGGTCGCGCGTCACACCCAGATGCTGCTCGAAACCCTCCAGGGATGCCTGATACGTGTTCGTGATCACCAAGTCCGCTCCCGCTGCAACACACAGTCATATTTCACCGTAAATCAATTTCATAACCCCTTATTTTCGGTCACATTAATCATCTCAATAGAGTAATGAAAACAAACGAATCTAAAGATTAATCCCTTTTACTATTCCACTGTTGTCGCCATTGCTATGCTGTTGGCTATAATTATACATATTCTCTAAGTTTATATTAGGAAACTAACTCAATAAATATTACTGAACTTCTACAGTTCTGCGTCGTTTACTATATTAACTGTGAGCAGGGTGCGGCCAAGAGGCATAAACAATTAATGTTATTAAAACTTAGTAATGCAACACAAGACCGCCTAGTTCAATAACAAGAGCCGTACGCCAAAAGGCGGCGCTGGGTCGAAGAAAATAATTATGTAGGTAATAAATAGAAGTCGGCTCACGGCCTGCGAATGGAAACGTATTAGACAGACAAAGTGATTAATGGCGATGGCGTCTTGTATCCGCAGCTCGTCTACTATAGCCTGCCGCCGCCGGGGCGCTTATGAACACGGCGTCATTACTAGCGCCCGGCCTGTACTATGCAAATGCGGGTTAGTTAGCAGATGTGGAAAATAGCGCCTCTCGTAGTACCGCGCTACGCCGTCAATTATAATAACCACGCAGAGACGCTGCTTCACAAAAAAAAATATTAAAGGTTTGCTTAAACAATCTAGGTTTATTAGTATTAATTGAAAATACTATCATCTGTTTTCATAGCGCCTTTATGTATAATCTTATAAATTGAAAGTATACAACAGCGCCTTTAAAATTCAGTCACGCAGTTGTTATTATTTGCGGTAAGCTGTATATTTCATGTTTTTTCATTTCATTTCTGCCTTAAGAGCTAGCAAAGCAAGGCAGTAAGGTTTTTCCCCTCCAGGGAGTTATTTGCTTGCCGACACTTTTCAGCTTTTCCTTATGAAAAGAAACGGTCCGTTTTGCGGCGAAGAAAGGCGCTTTCAAGGGACGATGACACGAGACGAGGTCGCACTCTCGATGTCAGATGCAAGAAAATGGCGGAGTAAAAGCGAGCTAACGTGTAATTCGTCAAAACACGCATACCAAAATACGTATCCATGAAACATTGGTATTGTACTTCACGTCATAAAGTCCTATAGCATGTATATGAGTTGACTTGTGTCGTTTTGGCACGTGCCTTCGTTTGTGACTTTTGCGTGAGACAGGTTGTTTTGGAATTCGTTCAAACTTTGCCTTAGAAAGGAGAACAATGCAATTACTTCTCAATTCGAAGGGGTTTGTTACGCGTGCTTGCTAGTATCTTATAACTTAAATATTTTGGTTGTTTCTGTCTAATTTATTGCTTGCCTTATTACCTTACTGGTACAAACTTACTCGTTTAATAACGAACTGGTTTACGCTGCCTTTATGAAAGCAGATGTTTGCATACAATTTCGGAGTGCTTATTTCAAAAGTAAAATTACTCATATGAACTAAAATTCGTTGAAATTCTCAGTTGAATATTTCTAAGACATGTTTACAAACTTGCTCCTATTACTCAAAATACACAATGTCGAATTTGTTTCAATGTATAAATGACATTCAACATCATTGTACCATTTAGATATGACAAACTATACGAGACAATGTGGCAAAAGCTGATGCTAAATTTGTTTACACACGTGTACGCCCACTCAGTCAGGTTAGAGTGATACGTAGAATGAAAATGCACCTCCATTATTTACTACCGCAATGCTCGCCACGTGCATCATGTCAAACGCTAACTACGTGCATCATGTCAAACGCTAACCACATGCATCTAAAAGATGCTAGCTTGTTTTCCATCTCACTGCACTAAATCAAGAAAGCTGTGTTTTCTATTATAAAAAAATAAACAAACATTATCTTATATTAAAAGAGTTTAGTTTAGTTATTTTAGTTATGATATAAAGGACATTCGCGTAATGTACTTTTTACATTAGGGTTAAGGTTATGTTTGGGAATACACATTAAATTTTGACGTAAAATATTAAATGATGACTATTGCGTATTCCCGTGTAAATAACGAGTCATTCGTGTTAATGTAGAGACGGCGTCTGATGGTTTTGCAACTGGCGGCGGCGGCGTGATCTGCTTGAATTCGTATTTACGTACTAGTAATGTGGCATATATTGTCTATAACCTTGTTGTTTTAGTCCTGATCAACGTTTTTGCACTTTAACGTGTACTTTAGTAAATATAAAGGTACGGTTATTACAAACAATGGACTTTGAAAAAAAAACATTAATATCAAATTAAACGCTCTAATATGACATAATTTATTTATTTATACGGAAATATTCTATTGAAATATAGTAAGTAATTAAAAAGATCACAACGCAGATTTTACGCTGGGCAGATTCATCGGCGGCAGCGGCGTAGCAAAATTGTCGGCGGCGGGGCGTCGCATGTGTCTAGTGGAGACGAACGAGAATAGTAGTGCGTAATACTGCTGTTAAATTCTAGATTCGCATCGCTAAAGCAAATGTCTAAATGTTTACCAATCTAGAGCGTATTGGGCTCTCGATTTGATTTCAGTAGAATCGATAACCGTTAAATGGCAACTCTAGTAGCAGTGGTGCAGGGGAATTCGGATTGAGGAGCGGTATAACCGACGAGACCCTTTGAAAAATATCCGTATTTACGAGCAGCGACTCCAGGGCGTCCAGTGAAAGAAAAAGTGTATCAAAAACCAATAGAAGACTTGGCGGAGCTACGAGCAAGAATAGCAGAAGCAGGAGAATTCGTAAATAACGGAAGATTCGCCCGTCTGATAACCCGATCTTTTCTAAAAAGATGTCGGGCGTGTATTGCAGCTGAAGGAAGGCAGTTTGAACATTTGCTGTAATTTCAATAAAATCACAATTTTACTTAAATAGATTTTTTATTTAATGGAACTATCCTAAGCTCAAAGCAAAAAATAATGATGCCATTAATTTAAATTAGTTGCGTAACGCTCTATCTCACTCACACTTCGTAGAATAGCTCTCTCCGTCTCTCTCATACTAGAATTATGTCATAGTTACCGTTCCGAGGGAAGGATTGGGTACACTAAATCATTTTAAATTAAGAAATAAAAATAGTTGAAAACCGGTTTCGTTCACAAAAATAAAATTTTGACCATAATCTAAGAAATAACGTAGCAAGTGTCATACCATTTTGGAATCCTCTTAAAATGTGCCAACTTTTAAAGCAACTTGCCCAACTAGTGTAGTACATTTTTTATTTTATTTATTTTATTTTATTTTATTTATTTTTTAGAAATTGGACGAAAAATGCAATTTCTCTTTTGATATGGGAATAATGTGTCATTTTCTTTCAAAATTAGAGCAGTTGGGTCAAAATTTTAGACTACTAGCTATAGGAGCATTACTCAGGGTTACAAAATAAAAAAAAATGAAAATAAAGTGGAAATTTGTAGAAACGGGAAGTGAAAATGCGTCACAGGGTGTATATTTTTCGATTTTTTTTCCAAATGGTCATAATTTTTAAAATACATGACATAGATTTTTTTTTGGATTTTTCTAATAACGGTTATGACCTGGCCTATCACCCCGTACCGGCTTGACGTCGCATTCCGGGACACCCTGTATAGATTTCGATCAATCTATCGTTTTATAAAATAGTGAGGGTTATGATAATACTATATGTAAAAAATTTCAAAAAATACATTAAGTGAATATATTTAAAACACATACCTCTAAGAAAATCCAAGTGAGTACTGACGACCTCGTCAGGGTGTGTATGAAGAAAGCGTGCACTCCACAAGGGGTCGCCATCTATGACGTGCCCAACGTGACAGGAGAGCTGTGTCGAAAATCCACCGTCTAGCATTATGATTTGTGGAGGTTCGACACCCTCATCGGTCGGAGGAGTCATGCCGCCGTTCTCGACAGTAACTTGGTAAAACTGAAATGAATACGGCTGTTATATTTAAATATTTCATATTTAAATACACATACTCGCAAAATATGTCAGTCATGCAGGGGTTGTTTGGTTCTGGGGTAACGAACAGCTATAAAAAGACACCTGTCATGTTTTTACTGTTCATTCAGTGTCGGTCGGAAGCAGACAAGGAAATGAAGGTAGCGTACACTTCTACAATTCTTACGAATTCACAAATTCGTGACGTGACTTAGGTGTGTAATAGTTATTTCAAGGTGACTTTTTATAATCTAATTCACGAAACTTGAAATTGAAAAGATGACATGGAGCACCCATCAATATGTACAGATTTTGTTATAGGACTTTTCGATTTCGCTTTGCATAAGCGAAAAATATTCATTCAAACACGACGAAAATGTTGGAACGTTATGCAAACGAGACGTCTATAAACTATTACAATACAACTGTATAGAGAGGATATAACAGTTCCCAAGCGTTAGCAATTTTGCTCGCGGTCAGTTGAAACTTAAATAAATTGTGGTTAGTAGAGTTCTTTCACTTTTCAATAAGCTAGTGATTATAAATTGGCATTTCATAATACTTGGATCTTAGGGAGCGATTTATTGCCACAAATTGGGGCGATACTTAATTTTAACAATAACGTAACCGTTCGAGGTTTTAAACGGTATTCTGTTCACGCCGTTTCGTATGTAAAAGATCAAACTAAATATGTTACATTCTAAGTCTCCTTAAACCGTAGATTTACTTCCCTGTGGATTTACAGGAGCTCAGGTAGAAACAATTGATAATGCTAATGTAATCTTCTAAGCCGAGGAAGCTTGAAATTTTCATCGGCCCTTTTCAGTTAGAATACCTACTTAATTAAATAGAAAAAAGAAAAGCTATTCCTTTGAATGTCAGGTTTAGTATATACGCTATGTTGAAGCGCGCTGACTGGGATTTAACCATGGGAAAACAAATTGTATATACAATGAAGCCAACATGGGTATGTTATCGTAGTAAATAGGAACGACTTTTATCCGCTGGCTGACTAAGTATTCCATAGAAATATAACTCAGCGAGGTCTTTGTTGTCACGCAGATTGTTAATTTGATTGCAAAATATACCCGCGTATCCTCCTGGAGTAAATGAATGCGATCAATATCGTCCCTCGGAAATGGAACGGAAGGTGGCGGGAGAGCTTTGCATTGACAGCGGTACCGATTATTAATTATGCCGTGCAATACGAAAACATATTTTCAACGCTTTATAACAGAATATTATTGGATAATGTTCGATTAATTCTTCGCGAATCTGTTCCATTATTTTCACTTAATTACGCTAGCATGTTAAACAACACCGTAACGTGTTAATATCATTACGATTACTTAGTAGATAACTATTGTTTGTTTATGTAAAGTATGTGGTTTGCCACGTGGATTGTAACATGACTACAGTTAAAAATAAACCACACCTAGTACTGTTGGCGGTTTACGTGACTTTTTAGCAATGCTGGTTACAAACACATACAATGCGTGTTTTTGTCGAAAATAAGAGAGTCTTTTATATAAAAGGACCAAAATAAAGTCAGCATTATGGAAATCGAATTCGTTAGATTTTCCCGCGCGCTTTCACAATGTAGATCTGAAAAAGCTGTAGCGTGTATTTTGTATTCTTGAAAACAATAAAGTGAAGCAACTTTTTCATTTGTATTTGAAGCAGCACGTACAAAAAAGCTTCCATTAATTAAATATCACTCCTGACGTGAATCGTAGCGTTATACAAATACACAAAGCGTCAACAATCTCGTGAAGATAATAATTAACGTAGGTACCCTATATTATATTCACCTTCTTATGGTGACACCTGACCCTAGCCGGGCGACTTTGATTTGAGTAGATATATACAATTTAAAGTACACGCTTAAATAGTGTTAGCGAATCCTAACATCAATTTATTTAGGAAATGAAACTATTTTTCCGGATTTTTAGCGTATATTTGTTTTTCAAACAAACCGACGTTTCGGGCCCTTTACAGGTCCCATGGTCACGGTTGACTGAGGTGGTACAGTCTTCAACCAGTTATGTCTAATATT